GGTATCGGTATCGGTATCGGCGAGTACCCAAACTCAAGTACTCGTATTTGTACTCAGTCTTGAAAAAACTGGTATCGGGACACCCCTAATATTATGTCCATTCATATATATGTATCGTGAACAGAAAATGCAAGAGAGGATGCTAAATACAACAAGCTGTCTCTTCTGGACTGTTTGGTATACATGGTAAGAGAAGGAAGTGTCATCATCAAAGTTTACAGGAAACCATCATTCCTGGTTGACTCTCACCACTGGAACACAAACTTTCTGTTATTACAACCCTACACCACTGAGCTGAACACGTCCCAATAGAGAATGAAAAATAAGAGTAGAATCACATCAAAAATCTTTCCAAACCTGTGGATATCATGAAGGGGTTTTCGTAAAGTCAGCAAGAAAATCTAGTCACCATGCACAGACCAAAACAGGGAGAGGAACAAATGTAAAACCATAAGTCACTGAAACAGATGAGAAACTTAGAGATGTTTTTAAACAGCACAGCTCCATGCATTTCAAACCTAACAGGACTCTCAGACAGACACTGGTCCATAAAGACACAACAACCAAACAAACTGAGCTGTGTGTCTGCAGGTCAGTGCAGGAATGTTCCTCTCCTCAGACACTACAAGACTCTAACAGCCATCAGGACGAGGGGAGGGAGAATAATCTGCATTAAACATCTTCAACATAGAACAGAAGTCCAGTTATTGTTTGTTTGTTTGTTTGTTTGTTTGTTTGTTTGTTTGTTTGTTTGTTTGTTTGTTTGTTTGTTTGTTTGTATTTGTATCTGAGAGCATGGTGCGGCAGCACTGACCTGATGGGACGGTTCTGGAGTCACACAGTCCATCTCTCAGGAGTTTGTCTCGGATCTCCCAGCTGAACATTCCCGGATTGTTCTGTTTCAACTCCTCGATCTTCTTCTCCACGTCCAGAGTGGGAACCTGCTGCAGGGACAACTGGACTTTAGTTCTGTCTGCTGGCAGCTGCAGGAGGCTGCTGTGAATGATCACAAACTTCTGGTCAAATTTAACCCTTTAAATGTTTTCTGTCTGAAAGAGAGGTTAAGAGCTAGGGTTAAGAGGAGGCTGGTGTGGGCCTGTCTGCTCAAACTGCTGCCCCATGACCCATCTCTGGAACAAGTGGTAGATGATGGATGGATGGATGGATGGATGGATGGATGGATGGATGGATGGATGGATGGATGGATGGATGGATGGATGGAT